GTGTTTGATGTTTGGTTTTTGCTGTCCTTTGAGATTTTTCATTCAGAATTTTATTTACTTTTTTATTTCTTAAATGTGATATTTATCATTATTATTATTTTCGGTTTTGAGTTATCTGTTCTTATTTTTTTTCTTTTCGAAAAGATTCATCAATTGATTTACTATTTCATTCTTATTTATCATTAATATTACTTATTATTATCTAATCATTATTTATTATTATTGTTTTATTTTTTTATTATTTAATAGAATTATTATTACTATTTTAATTTATTATTACTTATTATTATCTATCATTAATATTACTTATTATTATCTATCATTACCACTTTATCCTTATTTTATTATTACTATTATCTACTATTACTATCATCCTTTCCTGACCGATGATTTTATATGGGTATCCGCATTAACGCATAACAATCACGCTCGTTCATTATTTCGCATAGTGCAGTGACGGGGTTCAGCGCTAGAGTCATAATGGATTTATTATATTATTCTATTTTGCACAGGGATAGGATTTAAGGATTTAGGATATAGCCTTTATGAAGTGATATTGTTTCTTGCTTCTGTTATCTGGCGAGTTTGGATAACGGGTGTTTTCGGATAACGGGTGTTTTCGGATAACGGGTGTTTTCGGATAACGGGTGTTTTCGGATAACGGGGCTTTTGGATTTTGGTTGATATCGTGGAGACGGGGAAGAGAGATTGTAAGGGAAAAGGGAGGAAGAAAGAAAAGAAAACTAGAACAAAGCAGATTAGGCAAGTAGAGAAAGTAGAAGAAGAAAAAGAAGATGAAGATGATGATGAAGAAGAAGAAAGAAAGAAAAAGAAGAAGAAAAAGAAAAAGAAGAAAAGAAGAAGAAAGAGAAAAAGAAAAAGAAAAAAAAGAAAAAGAAAAAGAAAAAGAAAAAAAAGAAAAAGAAAAGGAAAAGGAAAAGGAAAAGGAAAAGGAAAGGAAAAGGAAAAGGAAAAGGAAAAGGAAAAGGAAAAGGAAAAAGAAAAGAAGAAGAAGAAGAGGAAGAAGAAAAAGAAGGAGAAGGAGAAGGAGAAGAAGTAGAAGTAGAAGTAAAAAAAAAAACAAAAACAAAAAAAAACTGCATAAGTGTTACATTTCTCCCTCTCGTTTTAATCTCACAAAAACAAACAAACAAGCAACAGAAACGAACAAACAAACCAGAACGCGAATGATTTTTCAGAAACAACACGAAATAAAATTCCCTCGCAAAGCATGGCATGATTTTCCTTCGTTTCTCGGTTGGCACTTCTAATAAATCTTTCAGTTTTGTTTATTTAATGGACGTTTATTTTTTTTTCTTCTAATGATTGTTTTTTTGTTGTTGTTGTTTTGATTGATGATTGTTTTGCGACAAAATGTTTCTTAAAAAAAGAAAAAAAAGAAAAGAAAAGAAAAAAAAATCTATCGTTTCTATTTTTGTTATTTATTTTTTTTATTTATTTTTTTTTTCATTTTTTTTTACGAAATGAAATTCCCTCGCGAAGCTTGGCATAACTTTCCTTCGTGGCACTTTTAATGTATCCTTCAGTTTTGTTTACTTAATAGACGTTTAATTTTTTTTTTCTAATGATTGTTTTTTGTTTTGTTTTGTTTGATGATTGTTTTGAGACAAAATGTTTCTTAATAAAAAAAGAAAATAAAAGAAAAGAAATAAAAGAAAATAAAAAATAAAAATCTATCTTTTCTATTTTTTTCTAATGATTGTTATTGATTTTTTGTTGATTGACGATTGTTTTGCGACAAAATGTTTCTTAACAAAAAAAAAAAAAAGAAATAAAAAAAGATAAAGATCTTTTCTATCTTTTTCTATGTCGTTTTCTCTTGTTCTTTTCTTATTTTGCTTCTTCTTGGACAGAGAGAATTCTAGAAAAAAAGAAATAAGGCCTGATTGCTGCGGACAAGAAAAGAAAAAGGTTATATCTTCTTCTTTTTTATAGACAAAACCTAAAGCGACTGTTTTACCCTTTCGTTTTCTCAAAAAAGAAAGAAAGAGAGAGACAAAAAGAAAACGAAAAAGAGCGAGAAGACAGAAATAAATGAATAAACGACCTTTCAAGTAGCGAGCTTCCGAAGGCCTGATCAGATAAATATAATATCTTCGAATTGGAGATACAGACACACGTGCAAGAAAAAAGAAAAAAAGAGAGAGAGAGAGAGAAAAAAAAAGATAATGGCAAAGGAGAGAAAGATGAAGTAGAAAAAAAAACAATTCATTTTTCCTCACGTGTTCTCTCATTTTCGTGGCATTTTCTTCCGTGTTCTTCCTCCTCCTCCTCCTCCTCCTCCTCCTCCTCCTCCTCCTCCTTCATCCCTACCCCCCCACCCCCCACCACCGACTCACTCGATTCAACCTACTTCCACCCTTCCTTCCAGCCCCTCCACCTCCTTCCTCTCCACCTCCTCCTCCCTCACCCTCTTCCCTCTCCACCTCTCTTTCTCCTCCTCTTCCATCAAAACCAACCAGCCTTCACCTTCCACCTT